ATTTAACTATCTACCTTTCTATATTGCCGAAACAAGGTTCCTCTTATGGAAGAATAGTTTCGAGGGAAATTCATTAGATAGTTGAAGTAACAAAAATTTTACAAAATTGATTGTAAATCTTATGCCATATGTTTTATTTTCAAAAGAGTGCAATTGTTTACCACTAAAATAAAGTTATCTAATTATTTTAACGAACTCTAGCTTTATCTAATATGTAACATATTTCTTTCTATTTGAACCAAATTGGTTGAAATGTTATCAGCTATAGATGATGTTATAACATCGTTAAAAACCTTTTCAACTTAAATTGCTGCAGCTCAATAACAATAATCCGTTTCTTCTATACTACACAAAAAAAAAATTTCAACCGTGACCATTTCATATTGGAAATAGCTCTGTCTAATGTTCCGCATGGAATATTTGAATTGCCAGATATCATAGTTGAAAAATAAAATATAAAAAGTAGTGTTTTCACAGAATAATTAATAAAATGCTGATCAATTTGAAAACATTGACTCAAAATTTTAACATGGGCTTATTTTTTAGTGAATTTTAAAAATTAAAGCAATTCTTCATTATTATATCAAGCTTGGAGCAGAAGCCACATCGTTTGGTTTTCATTACTTTGTTGATTTATATCAGTTGCACAAATTGATGAAGTTTGTGTTGTCCGAACTGTTGATATACAAATGGAGTTGATAACAAAAAATTTGATGAAGAAGAACCTCAGGAAAAGCTCAAAGCTTCAGAATTGAAATATTAGTTTTCATGGGAAGAAGGTGAAATACGAGGAAAGATAAAAGCGAAACAAGTAGTTTGATAAATTGAGAAATGAGGTGTCCTCATCTTATTTTCAACATTTTCATGCTAATTCAATTGTTATCGATAATTGGGTAACATAGTTAAGACAGAGTATTCATGTTCCAAGTGGATAGAATAAACAGTTACTTTTAGATATTGCTAAACAATGTGCACAAAATGAGAAGACCGTAAATAAAATTCTATTGCAACAAAGAATGAAGGACTCAACTCAGTTCTCTGCTGATTTAAGTGAGTGGTCTATTGAATGATGTATAAACCGATTTGAGTTATTTGATGGAGATAGTTTGAATCACGAAACAAGAGAAAATGTGGAAGCTCTTTTTATGTTTCCAAGAAATGGACCCGAGTGGATTAGTTTGTCACTGATAAAAAAGGTGAAAAAAGTTAGTAAAGTTAATCAAAGGAGTCTAATGGGAGCCATTAATATAACTTGGTAACCATCATTAAAAACATCAGTTTTCATCTAGGTATATTTCTACAACCCGGAGCTACGAGCAAATTTGTTGAAATAACTTCCTAACAAACAGAAGTTTTCAAATATTAGCGCGAATTGAAGGTAATCCAAACGTCAATAATAGATTTTTCTGATTGGTTTGAAGAATAATTCAAGTCGATGACCGCTTTCAAAGAAGTAGTCTGTATGAGAATCATATCAGAATGGGAACTACCATGTTTTCCTAAAAAGGTAGCTCTTTGCAAAATCAAACCAGTAGGAAACTAATACATGTAATGGTAAAATAAACTAAATGCTTTGAGTTGCCAGTAAATGAAAGAAGAAATAATGTTCTGAACCTGGATAAATCTTGGCAAATGTCAAATAAATGTTTTTTGAAATCGAGATGTGAGGCTAACTTTGGAGGCAGATATTCTCTACTGCATCTTCTACAAAATGTAATGCATAGGCTGAACAATATAGTGAATCAAACCAAAACGTATGTGCTAATTACGTACAATTACGATTCGCACCTGTGTTTCTACCAGGACCAGTTGGAGATGGTCCAACTTAAGCACTCTCTGATGATGGATTTACTTTCACCATGATTGAGAAAGACTTAGTTCATAGATTACAATTTCCAGGACCCGTTGTTCCACTTAGGTTCCAATGGACTAATGAAATAACTCACAACGAAGGGCATGCACAAATCGTTTCTTTAGATACTACTGCTTCTAGAAAACCACGAAAATTCTTCGCAGTGAATCAAGTGTGCTAAAATGTTTAATCAACAAATATATGGAGACGTCACATTGATTGGGATCAAGCTGTAACAGAAAACCTCTTCTGCGCCTAGCTGAAATAATTGACCCAATTGCAATATTTCACTCCTGCCAATATCCACAGATACTACTTCCCTAATTCACCGTTAATCAACAAAGTTGATTTGTATTTATTTACGACACAGATGAAAAGGCATATGCAGCAGTGGTCTTTTTGAAGATGGTAGAGTCCACATTTCATTTTCAGAAGCAAAATTTAAAGCTGCCCAAGTGAATCAAAAAAACATTCCATGTACTTGCATGTAAAAAATTCCAATGAATCGCAATGACATTGGTTACCATCTCAATTTAATGTTGCAGACCTAGCGACGAATGCAAGAAAAATATTGATTTGCGGCCAGAATGTGAATGTTATTCTGGACTTTATTTTCAGAAAATCTCTATAATAATCTGTTTCTGTTTAAAAAAATCTGTTTTTCTGTTAATCAGCTGTCGCCTCCATATGAATGACAACTCTCATACGTTGAGAAACTTGTGCGAGCTAAGGACTAACGAGGTCTTACCTTTTACTGTGTGAGATACTTCCGATGGACTTTCACATCATATCCGCTTTGCTATCAGTGATATCAAAAATCATAGAGAAATACGTAAACCACTATATCCCTCAATATTTGGAGAGCTTCAACATCTTGAGCGATTATCAACACGGATTTCGGCAACAAAGATCAACAGGCGACCTTCTATCGTATGTCACCCATATTTGGAATAACGCAATCGAGGAACATGGAGAGTCAAGAGATGTTAGTTGCGCTTGCTATTTCTGAAGCCTTTGACTGTGTGTGGCATAAGGGTTTGCTGTCCAAGCTTCAATGCTATAGCTTGTCGGATCATTTTTGTGTATGGCTCTCCAGCTTTCTGAAAGAACGTTTCCTGCAAGTGGCCGTCTCCAACCCCTTTTTTTATTGTAGGTCATTGACTGACTGGAAAAAAACCAAGAATCCAATATATTGCTTTGTTGACGACAGCACACTTGTCTCGTCATTCTATTTGGATTCCAGGACATCGGCTCCAGATGCACATGTTCAATATGGCACCAGGAGGTTGCATATCTTGATGAGGATCTAGAGGTGATTTCGAATTGAGGCGAAAGTAAACAGGTTTCTTTTAAAAAAGATAAATGTCTCTGAACCGGATATAATAATGTCAGGACAATTTCAGTTTCTGCTTCGATATGTTTGTTCAGGGTTGAAATGGATACCAATATGTCTTGACAAAATCATATCGCTGGAATTGCAAATGTTTCTCAAAAGCTTGGAACACTGTTCCGAACCAGAAAACTGCACACACCTCAGCAAATTTTGATGCTTTATAAAGCTCAGATGAGACCTTCTTTTGATTATTGTTCTCATATATGGAGCTCCGCCCAAAAGCATACCATGAAGTGCTTGGATCCATCCAGAAAAAAGCCATCCGCCTTATTGGAGATTCGAACATCACTTGCAACCTTGATAGTGGAACATCGAAGAAAGGTTGGAGATACCTCTTTTATAGATACTTTCACGGGAGGTGTTCAAGTGACTTGGCACATTTGATTCCACACAAGTGATGTACATATTAGAAATACGCGACGGACTGCGGCTGCTCATCGTTTTGAGGTTCAACTCAGTACACCTCTAACTTCACTGCTTAAGAACTCTTTCATTCGGAGAACTGCGTGTATGTGGAATAAACTTTCTGAGAACGTTTTTCCGAATGAATTTAATCCAGCAATTCAAATCCAACGTGAATCGCTACTTTCGCACAACCACCGCTCTTAGAACGCCATAAGGAATTTCCTGTAGTGTTTGTATTCTCTCCTTAAATGTCCTTAAAAAAAATATACTTGTTATTGAATCGATACATCCGCTTGTATGAGTCTATTAGAAAAGTGGATATAGAGTTGATCGAAATATGACAGCCGTAGAGAAAGAAATATCTGACAGATAAAGTCTGACGTAGAAAAAGGGCTCGTCTTGAATGATTTATTTGTGATGAAGAGAGTTATATGAGTAACTGGAGCATGTATGTGTCAAACGAAATAAGAAATGAAGTTGGTCGGAGAAAGTATATTCAGTCCGAAGCATACATATATTCGTCAATTCTAAGTTTTTCAATATGTACGACAAGTCATAATGGTGACAATCTCTATGTAAGATAAATGTTGGAATGCGATTGGAAGTTTTGTAAACGTCAAGAGGATACGACGTTGACGTACTTGTCATATGCTAGAGACTTCCGTTGAAGACAAACTCCCCTGGCTAGAGACCTTCATTTTGGACTAGTTCTGAACAATCATCAGGCTAAGAAATGATACAGATATTACCAACTGCTGATTACGACACTCAAAGAAGTAACACCACTAATAAATTGATGGATGTAGCCGTTACTACGTGTTAGAAAATCATTATAAAAACTTTGAAATACAACTTCCTATGTTTTTTAACCACTTTACTGCAGTTTCGTCCTTTCATGGATATTTTCAAACGAGTTTATATAGTCGTTTGAAAATGTCCGTATAGGACGAAACTGCAGGAACGTTAGTTAGTGGTAAAAAACATAGAAAGTTTCATTTCGCAATTTTCAAGACTAATAACAAATATCTGTTGCTTGTGATTCACTCTCTTTCTAAATAAAAGGAAGCGGTATAATAGGTGCGAAGAATGGTGTATCGATACAAATTCAAATGACCATGGCATCCCGGTTTTGTATTTTTTTCTTCTAATTGCTCAGAGTATTGAAGAACTTATCTATCTTCAATATAATTTTGATATCGTGGTATATTTTTCAATTTCTAGTTGTACTCATTGCATACTATTCATTACGAAAAAAAAAATGTGCCGCTGAGTATCTACTTATTTTCCTTTTTGATAAAAAATGTGTTCCATTCAAAAAATATCTGATTAAAAAAAATACTTTTCTTTCAGCACCATGGCAGAGAAAGATCCAATTCAAGAAGCAGAGAAAGATCCAATTCAAGAATTTTTAAAGAATACGGGCTGGTCGCGTGATGCTTTATTGGAAAAATTAATAAAATTGAGATCCGAAGAAAACATTGAAGAAGGAAATAAACCTATCTTGCAACAAATAAATGCTGAACCATTTTCGGATACTGATGACGAAGAGGAAGAAGCGCATGTTACAAATAACTCCATAATAAATGAAATAATAGATGACATATGTACAGTGAATACTCGGTGTAACTCTGATGATGTACTTCCAACAGAAGCTCGAGAAACGAATGAAAATGAAACTTCTGAAATAATGGAAGTTAGAGTAATAGAAGTAAATAATGAGGAAGATGATGACTTCGAAGAGGAATATAGTACCAAAGTATCTTCAGACAACTTTCAGTATTTGGAAACGTATCCTCGAAAAAGTTTTTGTCAGGAAAAATCAGTTATTGGTTCCAAAAGACCGTCAGAAACAAACGACTTCGAGAGAAATTCTGGGGAAATTGAATATGTCGAGACATATCCTCGGAAACGTATCAAAGTACTTTGTCTTGAAAAAGAAATTTCTGAATCTGAAAGTGAGAAACAAGTACACCATACTGAGATACATGAGACAGAATCAAATGAATTAACTGAAGTTCCATTAACTAAAGATGACAACCCAAGATGCATACCCTTTCAATTACAAGGCAATAAACAAACAGATAATATTTCAAGAGAAATCGAAGGAATATATGAAAAATCTGCCGAAGTTGAAAATGGCTTTAATGATAACACGACAATTCCAAGTATTGTTCAATTACAAGATCAAATTCAACTCACAAATATTAATCATCCGGAAACTATGGCTCTTGAGACTTCATCTGATTCGGACTATAAAGAAGTATCAAAAAATGAAAATGAAAGTGGTGATGAAAGTCATGAAGATATTAGTGATGAGAATTATTTTGCTCCTTCATTTGATAATGAAAGTTTGACTGGAGACGAAACTGTTAGTTTAGAAAATGTAGAAAACATTCGAAATAATTTGAAACTACAATTAAGTTCCCTCAGAACAAGAAAAAAAGAACAATTTCTGCAACCCCAAACAAAGATAGTGGATAGTATTGAGTGCAATACAAAATTATTAAATATAATGGCAAAAGACGGTGGTACAAAGAAAGCTGTAGGTGGAAAAATAAGCAGTTCAAAACACTTGATGAAAGAAAATCACCTGTTTTTACAAACTAACGAGTTAGGATTTGTTATATCAGATGTTCAAGGTGGTGTAGAGTTTGACGAAAAAGAAAATACTGAAAAAAACTTAGTCATCAAACAACCAGAAGAAAATTCAGTATGCAGCAGCAACAATTTTGAAAAAGATATAGATGATAATCAGCATATTGTGCTAGATCAAATTAGAAAAATTATAAATAAACAGAAATGTTCTCTCAAACGCGATGATGACGAATTGAAATCAAATTCGGACAGTTATCAAGTTCATATAGATTCAGGGAGAAAAGACAACAAAATTGCACCATTTAATGGAAATTCTCAACCTTCATTTCGAGATAAAACTAGCGAATTTGAGAAAAAATCTCCGTTTGTCAGTGACAGTTTAGATGAGTTTTTAGTAGGAGATTCTAAATTGAACATAAGTTATATGGTTCCCAAATGTGGTGCTGAAGAGGGTTTGAAAGAAAATATTTTAGATGAAGGTCCTCTTTTGTTAAAAAAGGTTTGTAAACTTGAAACACTTTCTGGAGAAAAAACTCAAAAACCACAATCACTAAAAGCTAAAACTGTTGCTCAGAAAAGAAAATTATTGGAGAGAGAAAAAAAACGAGAACTGAAAAAACTAGAAAAGTTGAAAAAGACCAACCTATTTCCGAAGGAACAGTCTGTTGAATTGAATAAAAAATTCAATCGAAGTTTTGTACTTTTTGACAATAAAAAGTTGTGGGTTAAGAGTAAAGTACATGACAAATGCATAGCAAATATTGGATGTAAAAATTTGATGAAGGATAGCTCACCTATCAACACTAGAAGAAAATTTTCTTTACTAGAAGGAGAGAAAAAAATCAATGCAGGGGTGAAGTATCGTCCAGGACCTTTATGTAAAAAGAGTGAACTTCAGATAACTGGCCATGATGACTGGGAAACACATTTCAAAATTCTACCTGAAATATCATTGGAGGTAGTACCAACAACTGGGCTTCCCTTTCCTGATCATATTATAAATAGGTTGAAAATATTTGATGGACAATTAGATAGTGGGCAAATTGAATTTGCATTGTCTGTTTTGAAAACTAAAAATAAAAATAATTTGAGTGCGCCGAAGTCGTTCAAATTTCCTCTAAAATATCATAACGAACAGGAAAAAGTTATTGTTAGGAAAAGAAAGTCAAACACAGTTTATGATACAGAAAGTTCTGTAAATAAACATGAAAATTCCAGAGATACTGTTGCAGCTGTTATTGATGACTTAATTAGATATGTTGAAATTAGGGAAATTGCTCCTACACTTATAAAAGATGATGAATCTCAAATAAAGGATGAAGGAAAGTTGGTTGAAAAGTTATCACCTATTATTGACAGTAATGTGAGTATTTTCAAAAAACCACATAAAAAGAAGACTAAGGTTGAACACGAGTTACTGAGACTTAACTGTAAACTAGTGAATGTTGAGGTAGAAGAAAATCAGACAGAAAAAAACTGTGAAAAGCCACACTGCCACTTGGGGTGTGTGTGTAAAAGTTTGAAATGTGAGAATATATTGAATTACCACTGTCAATTGGTTCAATGTATGTTCAATTGTACTTGTCCAAAAGAAAAAGATTTGATTTATGAACATAGTCTCACTTTACCAGCTGGTACAGATTTATTGTCATCTCATACAGTTAACCGTATTGAAGATGAAGCAAAAAAAAATTTGGCTAAAGAAGAGCGAGAATTTACTCAAACTGTCATTCATACAAAAAATGAAACAATAGTGGTTGGCTTGGGTAGGAGAAGTAAATTGAGAAGAAATACGAAAACTCCTGCTAAATATTCAGATTTCGTAGATAGTGGTTCTGATACTTTCTTTACTCAAATACCGGACAATGACTTCTCAAGAAAATGTACAGTGAGTTTGCCAAGACTAAATTTATCACAAATAATACCATATTGCTTAATGCATAATCTGTACGATTGTTATTGTGAGGGAAAATCACCATTCATTCCATATAAGTCAATGAAGGGCAATATAATTTCAGAACAGAGGTGTGACGATCTAAAAGTTCATGGTAAGTTTACTGGAAGAATAGACGATGAAGAACAAAACAAAATAGAATCAATAAAAGAATTATGTAAACATACCAGAAAACTAAATTTTAAGAAACACAGACGTGGTGGAAGAGAAGAAAGTGAATCGAATGATAATTATGCAGAAAAAAGAAATGAGAAATTGTCGAAACTTTCCAACGAAGTTGAAGATTTCAAGCCTAATGACGATTCTCATAATACATCAGATAGTATTAGTTCTCATGTGGGTACCAATATTTCGTCCAATTCTAAAAGACCAATGAGAATTAAAAGGAAAAAAGAATATGATAAAAATTATATTGAATATTCCGATGAAATACTTCATGAGGTAGAACTAGATGACTGTGCAAGGACAAGAGGATTACCATCAGAGTATCCAAAAACTAAAACTGTTGGTGTGAATGAACAGAAAAATGATTTCTCTTACAACATCAAAGAATCTGATATATATAAGGCAAAAATTCAGTACATGGATAAAGATCTAAAAATTTTCGAGGCGGATATTTTGAAAAAAAAATTGATTGAGCAATGTATGGGAAATATACTATTTGATAAAGTCAAAAGTAAACGTAAACAAACGCTCAGTGAACGTAGAGAGAATAGCACTTCTACATCTACATCATTAGCACTCTTCAATGAAAATGGTGCTCTTCAACGCAGAAACAAGTTTTCATCATTTCCACCAGGAGAAGTGAAAGTCAAACCAGTGTTTGATGGCGAAATTATTGTTGATAAAAAAAATTTAGAGTTATTGAAAAAAATAGGACCAAAAACTGTTCAGGATGGCTACGCACGATTAATACCATGGAAAGTTCTTATTAAAAGTTTTGAAACTGGCAAAATTAATATCTGGAGTATTGTAAATCGACCTTCACGCCTCCTCATTAACAAAAGTAATAAGAAAGCTCCCAAAAATTATGTCAACATTAAAACATTGGAACGAACAATGAGTAAATATATAACAGAAGAAAGAACAGAGGATGTGATTTCATGGATTTTGCACGGTAGACTTCCTGACTGTTATCCAATAGACAGCGTTTCATTCATTTTAAAAGAGATCAAAAATAATTTTGAAATATGTGGTGTTTGCACTAGAAAATTTAACAAAGAAGATCTGGCGAGTAGAGAAATGGAAGACAAGTCTGTTGATAATTCAAAGAAAAAAGATATTTTCGATCATAGAGACTTGAATGGTGATTATCAAACTCTAAATATTTTCAAAAATAATTACAAGCTTCAAGAATTAGTTGAAGAATCTACTGGTCATTTAGGAGAGATGTCGGTTGATAAGGATAAGTTATATATGTGGGCTGCTTTGCCAGAAATTTATCCTGTTTGTAAATGGCGTATGATTTACCTAAATTCTGACTTTACCTACCTCTACTTTGTTAGTATAGATTATTCAATAAGATATACTGATTTGGTTCGGATAGGAAGGATTGCTAGAGATAATAAATGTACAGTGAAAGTTACTAATGATCCTTTAAAAAGTGGATATGATCATGTTGAATTTGGGATATATTTTGACCAAAGCTATATCGATAGGATTTTCATTGGTCCCTATTTCAAGCAGTATACAGGCAATGATGTTGAAACTTATCGGTATGTGAATAAGTCTCTCACATCTACAGAAGATTTTAATAAAATGACTGGAAAAAACGACTACAAATGTGGACATTGGTTGATTGAACGACCCTATTCAAGAAAGCGATATCAAGAAAAGGAATTGAATATTTCAACTGTCGACCTGACCAGTGAGGATGATAGAAGTAATGCTGCATCAAAAGTACTAAATAATTTAAAGAAACGCCCGTCTAATGAAGATTTGCCACACATGGTCATTATGCACAACGAAGAACAAATATTGATACTTGATGCTCCGCCAAGAAAACCAGAAGATTTTAATCTGTATATAATTAGCAATATTCCACATCTTGGGTATCTTGGAGCATACAAACATTCTTCTGGAAAAATTGATGTTTCATGGCCATTCGAAGAGAAGTTATTGAGGTTTTCTAATACCTCGGTAGCTGTTGATTTTCTGCAAGAGTAAGTAAAGGATTACCTCTCTTGAAGTTTTTATTTAATAAACCATTTTCAGGCGATTTTCTGCTTTACTACAACCAGTCCCAGAAACATTCAAGATAAATATAATTACTGTAACTCAAATTGATTTCCTAAATACCCATCCTATTGATGCTTCAGTTTTGAGTGGACATTATGTAAGTATGATTTATTTGAGTGACCATATCAGCACTATTATTGGTATATACCTAAATTAAATGAAAAATATAGATATGTTTTCAAATAAACATAATAGTTATCTTCTCAAGTTGATAACTTACACTATTACAGAATTAAAAATGCATTAGAAGATGATTTTTCTCTCCTCAAAAACTCATTCTAATATTTTAGAAAAAAAAAACATTTGAAATGCATTTTTTATGGCTGAACACTGGTCATTAGACTAATATATACCTGTGTATGTCTGCGTGCGCCTGGTGGCGTGAGTGCGCGTATTTATGTATGCATTGAAAAAATAGAGGTGAAATGTTAAAATTAATTTTTTTTCATATATTCAACACTTGGTCTGTATATTTTCATTTAGGTCTTAAAAGTGAAAATTTTCCTTATACTATGAAGCCTCCGCGGCATAAACATTTTTATTTTTTCATACACAAACCTTTAACTACTTGATCACTTTCCCTTAAAGATTGGTTTTGAAAAAGTAGTTTTCAACTATTCATTCGCTTCGAGACCCTATGTTCTTCGAGTCTATCTGGATTTAAAAATCGTCATTGAAATCACTGAAATGTATATGAATGGTTATTTTTACTATTAATATCAAAGTTCAATTTGTCAATATTCATGTTGACTTTTGTGGACACAAATTACTATTATGATCATGTATTGTGTAGCAATAGACATGTCAAGTGGGTATGTGATCTAAAACAACTCAAAATTTGTCATCTAATACAATGAAAGCTACAGAGAGACAAAAGGCGATTTATAATTTGGGTTTGGCTTAAGTTTGTAAATATTCATGTTGACTTTTGTGGACACAAATTACTATTATGATCATGTATTGTGTAGCAATAGACATGTCAAGTGGGTATGTGATCTAAAACAACTCAAAATTTGTCATCTAATACAATGAAAGCTACAGACAGACAAAAGGCGATTTATAATTTGGGTTTGGCTTAAGTTTGCTCAATTCCATAGATAACAACTTTGTAAGGAAGTGTTCACGCCTACTGTTCTTGTTAAGGACAACGGAATACAAACGTTGCTTTTATGCCCCACTATAATATCTCTAGCTGTGGCAGATTGAAACAGGTCTGTCGTGTATCTATTAGATCATGAATGCAATACTGTTGAGCTCAAGTTCCTCTGGTAATTAAAATTGTTATAATAAATTAATTACAATAAGCGATGCCTATAAAAGGGTTATATAATTTATAAAGTAGGTTAACATCTTCACGTTACATAAGATCGATTCAAATTATAAAATGTACATATGCACACCTACATATTTAATTAGAAAATTATCCATATATAAAACAATTACCCATATAGATAGATGAGTAAAATAATATAGATTGATATATATTTTATCAAGCAAATGACTCATAGCATAGGTGTAGATTGACTAACCTGATGTATTTTTCAGATATGTGGAGATTTTGGATTCGAAAATATAACAACAATGACAAATGATGATTGTTTGAAAAAATTGGGAAAGTCGAGAGATGACATATTGAGTATGTTTTCCAAACGAGCTAAACTATTTTTGGGAAAACGAATAGAAAGCTTGGCATCTTTACTGAACATGGGTGGAAACAGTGGATATGATATTTCCAAAATATTGAAAACGGTTAGATAAATATAACTTGCATGCATGGTAGATGTACAAATCCTGATAGTTACCCATGTTGGCACTTCAAAATTTATTTTCTATAATTTTTTGTGCGAATGTTTAACATCAGCATCCATCAAATTTACTTTCTTAATAATGGTCGAATGTGAGCATACCTTATTTATTCGGACAAGAATTCATTCCATTTTCCAATTCTTGAGTAAATCAATTTTTGGAAAAACGTCATTTTAAAAAAAATTGTTTCTTTATAGAAATCAAATTATTATATAAGAGCACATACATTCACGGCCGGAGTCACGCTTGAAGAGAAGAAAATTCAGGCTGGTAGGTCGTGTTCGAATGAAACGTGAAGGACCAACCGTTTCGTCTACTACTGCGGCAGACATAATAAGTGGTATGTACGTGGGGTGGAAACCCCGCCATCGCCCTCACCATAATTCCCACCACCGTCTTAAATCATAAATTGGAGTGAACACATAGCTCGCCATTTAGTCGAGATATAGCATTCGTCCTTGAGGAAACGCACATACCACGAATGATGTCTGCCGCAGTAGCAGACGAAACTTTTGGTGCTTCACATTCCATTCAACCACGTCCTACTAGCCTCAATTTAATTCTCTTCAATCATATAGTAGAGGATCCCAAGTAAGATCGACCTTCACTAATTTGATAACCAGGTGAATATAATATTTCAATAAGTAAAATATGTTTGTGAACGTGTACCAATAGGGTTGCCGTTAAAAATTGTTCATGGCAAGGAATAATTATAATTATAAAAAATAATAATTTTTTCAAATTTGACTGTCTTGGTTGCCAAACGACTCGAAATTAAATCGAAAGGATACAACATTCGCTATATACAGTTGATCGATTGCTTATCTTTTTTTGTTCCCTAATAGTTGGTAGCCACATACAAACAGGTGAATTGATATTAGTAATTGCGCTCATCTGCTTACCAAGATAAATATAAATTAAAATGTAGATAATTTTATTGCAAGTAGAGTAGTATGAGTTAATGAGGTATGAGGCACATGAAAATATGTTCACAGGTAACAGTAGCCAGGCTTTGTTGCATGCGATAAAAGAGGACATAGCATAGCAGCTGCGTGCTACTGGCCTGTAAAATATGAGAGAGTGTGCTTGTTTCCTATTCATAGTATACACAAGGAAAAAAATATACTATAGAGAGCCATTTTGGAGTGTAATAAAAAAACGTCCTCAAAATAAAAAAAAGGAAAATCATTTTTCAAAAATGAATTAACTTACACATTTATAATATGAAACTAAAAAAACTTTATTGTCAAGCAATATTTACATAAAAAAGTGATTAAATGTCAGTGTCATAATTGTAAATTATTCCGGATCGGAATCGTCGGAAGTTATATCTTTATCTTCTAAGTCAGAAAAAGTTTTTGTTATTTGCAAAATATTTTCTACTTTCAAGGGTGATCTCCATCAAATCTTGGTTTCAAATGACCATCGAAAAACCAATTGCAATTTTCATCATTCTACTTTCTTTTGTGGTGAACTTGCATATTCAATAGCTGAAGAAGTACTGGGTTGCACCTGATTATATAATTTAATTGATTGAATAAAATAATAACGTTTAAAACGTTTATGTAATTCTAGCCTTGAAAAATAATAGTTTTTGAAGTAATGAAAGAACGATTAACAATAAATTGAAGTTGAATCATTGACAAAATTCTCATGAATAACATTTCAAACCAATCTATTATAATAAACAAAAGCGGATTAATTATTTACTTACATATAGATTTTTAACAAATGCATTATAATTGAATAAAACTGGCCGACACTCGATGAAAATCTATATTAAAACTAATTAATACAGTGTAGGAATCACACGTTAAAAGGTTAGACCTCGTTAGTCTTCAGCTCGCACAAGTTCTCAATTCTGAGAGTTGTTGTTCGTATGGGGGTGACAGCTGATTAACGGAAAAACAGATTTGAAACAGTTTTTTTTTTATTGTATTAAACTGTATTGATTAGTTTTAATGCATTATAATCTTCAATGAATTTTTGTTTCGAAACAGTCACTTATTTGTAACACGAGGAGTAATAATTAACCTATGTTAATGTTATGATAGCAAATATTAAGGAATCGTTCAAAACCAACCATATAGAAAGATTAAACGAGGAGAAAGAAACTGTAATGAATATTCTCAAAGATGTTAGTCTGACTGACACCAACATAAGACTGCAAAGAATCGGCAAGTTCTCAAAAGATAAATGTAGACTTCTGAAAGTAACATTCAAAAACCCAGCCGATGCAAAGGAAATACTCAAGTAAATCACTGCACACAGTAAAGATATTTGGGGATCAAACGGTGAAACAAAGGGAATATTATAAAGTAGTGAAAAAAAGACTTCAAGAAATTATTGAAACAGGAGACAACTCGAAAACTATCAAGTACATTAACTTTATCCCTACAATAATAGAACGACACAATGGAAGTGATGAAAAAAAACCTGTGATTCCTAATGTACAATTCAACCAGGGTATTTTCTATGTAAATGTGGGAAGTTTAGTAGCTCATAAGACTGATATTATTCTAGATATTGTAAGTTATAATCCAGCACTGATAGTTTTAAGTGAAGCGAGAACAACTCCAGATGTTAGCAATGCTGAAATATATATAGATAATTATAATGTAATTCGATGTGNAAATGTCAATTTTGACAGGTTAAGAAAATCACGTGACCTATTTTGTAGACGCCATTTGACATCATTTCTTAAGCAAAATCTACTGCCAAAATCAAATTTCACATAAAACGATAAAAAAGTTTCCCATTTGATGCGGACTTTATCGGTAACACTGTATGCATAACTATATATTGTATATTAGGATTCCTAAAATAAAGTCTACTACTACTACTACAAACTCTGATAAAACTTTGTTCAACTGTATCTCCTCGTACTTTAGATCGTCGGTATGATAACTCTGAATATCAATGATGAAATGTTGTGTAAATGAAATCAATAACAAAAGCACTTTTTTGTTCGATTTTTTAAACTTCAAAGCCTGGCTACCATTACCTATGGACGTATTTTCACACCAAACCTCATACTACTCTACTCGCAATAAAATTACCTACATTTTATTTTATATTCATTCTGGTAAGCAGATGAGCACAATTACTAATATCAATTTACCTGTTCGTTTGTGGCTACCAGGTATCAGAAAACAAAAAAAGATAAGCAATCAATCAACTGCATATAGTGAATGTTATATACTTTCGATTAGACTTTGAGTCGTTTGGCAACCAAAACAGTCGAATTAGAAAAAATTATTATTTTTTATAATTTTAATTCATTGTAGCCATGAACATTTTTTTACGGCAACCCTATTGGTACACGTTCACAAACATATTTTTTTATTAAAATATAATTTTCACCTAGTTATCAAATTGGTGAAGTTCGTTCTTACTTGGGATCTCAGACTATTATTACTTATTGTTATTGAAGATACAAACATTTTTTGAATATGCATTCCTCAACATTTACTGTTTTAAAAGAAATGTATCATACACCTCTGTGAAACTCTTTTTTTTTAATTATACTAAGACCTCGGTGGAGTAAGTTGTTGCCTAGCCAGGCCATTGTATAGTTGTAGTAGTATCTGATTCAGATCTGGCTGTCAGCAAGTGGGTATTTTATTTTTCTTTTGATTGTGTATTTGATGTGTAACTTGGGTGTTCTCGTGTGTTTCGACTTTTGAGAGTTGTTTGTATGTTGGGAATAGGACCTGGCTAGAGCAAATACCTGTTTTGAACCCCACTCATTCCTATACTTGTATATTTTGAATCTGTTCAGAAAATAGAAGTATAACATTTACCATTCAGTACAACATTTTTAATAAAAGTTATCAAACTGATTTCAATAAAATGTATTTTTCATCCTAGGCCACCGAAGAAATTCACTCACTGATGAATCAAGAAAAGCAAAATATCGCCTTGAAACATGAATTGTTGGTCATGAAGCGAAGTAGAGCTATTCAGTTATTTGGTTTGATTAAGAAGTTACCACATTTACAAAGAAATATTGAAAGCTTGAAATTTCGAAGTGTGCTCAACAAAACGGAACCCATAGAAATACAGGATTCTGATGAAGAGGAAAGCCGAGATTCACAAACAAAGGTTATAAAATTGTATTTTTTTTAATTTCAACTTCTGCTCCACTGGTTCTCGCCATTCTTCCCATTCGTCTTAAAGTCTGTTCTTGAATAATATTTCACAATATTTTTTCAACATGATGTCTTTTTGAGTTAGTAATTATCTCATTATATCATTGCTATTGTGGCTCACACCTATTCACACTCGACCAAATAAACCCAGCTCCTTAACGAAGCCGATTAGTTTGTATGGTGAGTGGTCTTTCAGGTCAGATGGTAAGAGTATGGCTCTGCTGAACTCTAAAAACCTGATTCGGTCCCCACCGGGGCAGGCACACAGTATGTGCTCTGCTGCTTCATCATTTTCCAAACAGAAGCGACACACTGTATACCGACAATTCGAGTCTCTGCATACGCTGATTCAAATGACAGTGACCTGTAAGAAGGCCTGTTAGACATCGTAGTTCGTCCCTACTGTAGTCCAATAACTGTTTGGTATCAAGCTTCGAAGGGTGAATAAACGCCTTGGAGTTAGCCATCCAGGTGTTCAATGTTTGTTTGGCAAAGCCTAAAGCGATGCCAATGACAGGTTCTGGTCCGATGAAGCTGCTTGCAGCACCCTCCTTTGCAAGGGAGTCAGCAGCCTCATTGCCTTCCAGGCCAGTATGGCCAGAAATCCAGACCAAATATAATCTGTTAAGTCTTCCTATCGAGGAGAGTCGTTTTTGCCAATTTGCTACCAATTTAGAAGTTGTTCGGTAGGAGCCAAGAGCTTCGAACGCCGCTTGACTCTCCGAGAATATTTTTATTGACTTGTCTATGAGGTTGGATTTTTCCAATCTCTCCGCACACAATTCAATAGCGTAAATTTCCGCTTGAAATACAGTCGCATAGGTTCCTAGGCAGGTTGATATCTCTGTCCTAGGTCTATGACTGAAAACACCTGCGCCAGAACCGGAAGGTGTGTTTTTGATCCATCTGTGAACTAACAACTATCCATCTCTATATTAATACTTCTGTTGTATGGTTTGTGTTTACATAAGCTATCTACAGGAATAGTAATGGAATAGTCTCCCACAATTATATCAATAATTGAGCGGATATTCGAACAGAGCGTACTAGAGAGATTTTTAATGGGCTTCAGCGAGAACCAACATGTTAGTTGTTCTATAGGACTCTGCAGTATAAGCATAACCTTGCATCGACAATCTGAGTTAGGGCAATTGAGAATTTCAAGCATTTGTTCAGTTGCCTTTGCAAAGTAGCGGAAGGCATCAAACAATTGAACTGCTCTGAAGGACTTGGTTCATAATCTCGTCATGCTAATATCCAAATCGAGCAGGTCACCGTTAGAAGGGGTGCAGGAGAGTCAAACGTTTTTGACAGTTTGGTAGGATCCACATCATGCTTGCACAAAGCAATGGAGAGTGGTTCTTGGGATGGTGATATCAGTCTGTTTCAAATGAGTATCGGACTATCAGAGTATATCTTTATGTTTCATAATAAATGAAAGAATGTATGAAAATCAATCAATCATAACCACTGGGACTATTTCAACATGAAAAAAAAAACAATTGATTTTTTGCATTTCATAGCCCTAATTTGTTGAATGATCATAAAAAGATGGAAGATATTTTAAATATTAGTCGATTTGAAAGAATAATTCCCGTGTTTATATTGCAGAATCAAAACTTGACTAAAACAAGTCCAAGTGAGTCTTCGAACACAGATGTTCTGAAGGTGAGTTGAATTTGATACCTTTGATTATTTCTATCCCCTTGGTATATCTACTACCTTGACTGTTGTTTTCTTTACAATCCTTGCCAGTTCGAACAGATAAATGAAGATTTCATTTTCAAGAATACTGATTTAAGTTTAAGAGCCACCATTTGACAGATATTTCAGTCTATTGGGCATCGTCAGTATCGGGCAGGGGTCCTCGATTGAAGACAATATGTGAAACACCAAGAAAAGTACTTGATAAAAATAACTGCGTAAACGCAAGCGAGACATGATCAGAATGGTACTTATCTATTTATCTTTTGATTTTCATGGCATTATATTCCAGCAGCTTGACTGCATTAACCTTTTTCTTCTATATATATAATCTTAGCGACTGGATAAATTGTACAATAAAATGGAATAACGGGGTCTCTCAGTCAAAAAATCAAAAATCAATCTCTACTCTACTTTGCCAAGCTTTCACTTCTAATGGGAAGCTTCTTCTCAGGGCCTATAATTTAAGGAGTTGTGAATTTTTTCGCCATTGAATAACATTACAAATCATACTTACAGTAAAAATGAGTGAAAAAAAAATTGAATTGTTACCAACTGGAATGATTTAAAATATATGACAAACATTAAATGAATACATTTTGAAGTTGATCAATAAGATAGGAAAGATAATTTCTCAAGAAAAAAAATTGTAGCTACAGGTAACAAAAACACATAATACATATCATATTTGTATATTGAAAACAACCTTTAAAAAATAAAGAATACATGGTGTTTTTGTTTTTTGTTCTGTTTATACATAAATTATTATTATTTCGAAATAAGATGGTCCTAAATTGTTAATATTTTGTATACAAAAATCATTGTGAAATATAATAGTGTTTGTGAAATGGATTGCCAATTTAAAACACGGCACTTCAAAATGATCCACATACCACAATTATAAAGTTTTTGGAGTTGAGATAATGTATTCTGATTGTATAGATATAGGATAGAGAAACAGTAGTCAAAGTGTGGCTGAACAATTGACTTGTAAAACTGTGATACTTCACTTGGTTGAAAGATTATATATATATTTCAATATTAAATTCTACAAAAAGGATTTGAAGCTTTATATCTTCTATTAATTATCTGCGATCGCTTTCGACAGTTGGTAGTACTGTCATCATCTGGCACTCCTCAAACTGCAGTTTGAGGATATGTGATAAATTCACAACATAATTGTGTAGGTACGTCAAGACTGAGGTGTAGATATAAAAATGTATATAAAATTTGTAAAGCTATGTAAATAAAATTTGTGAAGCTGTAAAACTGAGATAATCCCAGAAACTAGGCTTTATGTAAGGAAGTACGTTAAATAGACAGTACTAAATATTAAGTCCATATATGGGAAAAAACATCTTCAATATTATAAAGTGGATTTACAAGAAGTGATTGTTTTAAGTAGTGTTTCAATTTTTTTATAGTGAATGTCTTCCAATCCACCGGTATAAGGTTATATAGTTTAATTGGTAGATAGTCAGTCTGCTTCATTGTTTTAGTGTTCACTCGAGGTAGTCTATACAATTCTTTATTGCGGGTATTGTACTTATGAATTTCACTCCCCGTAGTGTTTGCATTTTTGTTTTGCTGTATCCACAAGATGGCTTCTGTAATATATTTACATGGAAGTGTTAAAATTTGCATTTTGATGAACAATGGTTTGGCATGTTCCCTTGGTCCAGCCTTAGCCATAGTTCTAACAATTTTTTTTGATTTATTGATAACTGGTGGCACGCTGAGCTTGTGCCCCATAATAAAATCCCATACATTAAGTGGCAGTGAACCATACCGTAATATACAGTTTTCAGCACTTCAATTATTGATACTATTTCTCTGAGATTTCTAAATGAAAATTGACTTCTGGACAGCTTTTTTGCAATTCCTGAATGTGTTCTTTCCAGTTCAGGTTGGAATCTATGTGAAATCCTAGTATTTTGACTGATGAATCATTTGCTGTATTTTTTGAGAAAGTTATTTCTTTAGTTTTGTTTTTATTCAAAGATAAAATATTTGCGTTGAAGTAAGCTTCACCTCGTGACAGTGTCTCTCTTGACATTCTATCGATCTCTTCTAAATTCCTGCTTCTTAAAAAAGTTGAGTCATCTGCGTACATAAATACATCTGCGATGTCTAAGAAGGTTGGCAGATCATTCATATAGATTATAAACAAGAGTGGCCCAGGACTGAACCCTGAAGTACATCATGTTTGATTTGTATGGTCCTGGAGGTCACATTATTGTAGGATATGTATTGTTGTCTGTCCGTAATGAATGTTTCAATGAGTCGAAGAGCTGGTCCACGTATCCCGTATTTATGGAGCTTTTCTAATAGGATGCCATGTGAGACACTGTCGAAGGCTTTCAACAAGTCGCATAGGATTGCACGTGTATGTACTCCTACGTCTAGATTTTTTGCTATTGAGTGAACTATCTCATTTACAGCTTGTGGAGTTGATCTTAGCGATCGAAATCCATATCAGTGGTCATCGAGATGTTTTCCGTCTCAAAAAAAACTCGTTATTCTGTCTTTGATAATTACTTCAATTATTTTTGATATTATTGGAGTAATTGTTATATATCTATAATTATCACAGTTATTTATATCACCTTTTTTCATAATTGGGGTTGCTCTACACAGTTTCAGATATGATGGAAATTCTCCCTTCTCCATGCATGTATTAACTAGGTGTGCGAGTGGTGTGCTTAGAATGTCAGGTATGAGTTTGATTATTTTGGAGCTTATGTTATATGCATCCGTAGTTGAACTATTTTTGAGTGTTTTTATCACACCTGTTATTTCTTTTTCATTTGTGGGACTCAAGAATACTGAATCTTTCACAGTTATTTTAAAGAGATCATCCCCAGATTCATCCGTGAGAGGTATTTTTTTAATATTGTTATCGATCATTGTGGAGCTGAATTCACAGAAATCATTTGCAGTAAGGCAGGTATTGTGGTTGTTACTTTTACCTGACTTACCCTGTATTTCATTTACGATCTTCCAAACTGTTTTTGCCGGGTTCTTACTGTTTGTGATAACGTTATCATACATACTCCTTTTTGCTTTCTTCACATTTTCTGTAGGTGGTACTGTCATCTTCTAGGCCTAGAAGATGACAGTACCACCAGCTGTCAAAAGCGCTCGTAGATAATCAATAGAAGATATAAAATATCTCACTCCGTTACAGTTAGATTTAAATGTTAACAAAGAATTTCGCACATTTAATTTACTGGCTGCTACTTGGGAGCTGTCTAATTTTCCCCTATACCCCGAAAACATTGTAGCCCCCTAGGCTTATTGCGTTCTTTTTCATGACATCCATTACAACAATGTTGTACAGATTCCTTGTTGCATATTTATCATTTTCTTCTGGACATAATTTGGGTTGTTGATGAATTTGTTTACCTCCTGTGATTTGATGCCTCATGACGAGCTGTCTTTGATCCTTTGTTACATTGCCTACAGATAAAGTCTCCGTTATGAAGACTTACTTTGTTCAGGGATTCTCTCAATAAACAGTGTCCAATAAATAGATCTGTAATGATTCTGTTTTTCTATAGGACGGTTCCTTTATAAAGGTTTTCCGATTGTATTCCCTCTATGTTATGTTTCTTATAGACCCATTTTCCAATCTGGTTCCGTAACTACCATTTGGGTACCTCCTCAACTGGTTCAGAACCTATATATGGAGTCGATGATCTGTGTCTGGTACACTCATCAGCTTTTTCGTTGCCTGTGAGACCTCTGTGACCTGGTAATTAGTATAGAGTCAACCTATTCCCATCTGCCAGTTTCCATAGTTCTATATGGTATACTTAGCCCACTATCGATGTCATAGAGCTCACGAGTGCCCCAAGTGTAGCCTGGCTGTCTGTGAAATACAGATGACTCCAAGAATTTTCTTATCGTCGCCTCAGAAAACTGCAGAGACGACGAGCTGTTTGTGTTGCTTCAGTTATATCATTCTCACTCTATTCATCCTCTCCATCTTTTCTTGATTCCTTTACATATTCTTGCTATTGTCGATTCTCTAGTTCTACAACTATCATATTTATACTTATAATCCTCATATTCAACTCATACTTCTGTTTTCTCATGGGTATTGAGTCATTATTTGTTCTATTTTTACTGATGATTGCATATGTAGGGGCTACTTGATTATCCATTAAGGCAATAGGGGTCTTCTTATTTCAATGCCATTATTCTTTATTAGTTCAGTAAATCTTTCTTATTATGCCATACTTGGTCACATATGTAATTTGTGAGGTATTGTCTGTTGCCAGGTAGGTTGCCATCTGTTCCATTGTCACCTGACCAGTCCTTAGTCTGGATTCCAGAAAAAATAAATTATAACCAAAAGTATTTTTAATAATTTATTCTTTACCTCTATAGGTTGACATTTTTGTTTTGATTTTTTAAACCAGTTGTAAAAGGGAAAGTCACAAATGCCAACTTTGATGTCATCAAAATCCTGAAATATAAATATTGAGAAAGAAAGGTTTTGGCTTTCTACTTCACCATCTTTATACAAAAAAATATGAAAATCTTCCAAAGAAAGGAAGAAAGCGATTGATTCTTTCTTCAAGTTTGTATCTGAAAGTCACTTCTTTGAATGATCTTCCATCTTTGTGAAAAGTTTTGACGTTAATTACGTTCTTCCTTTCTTTGGAAGATTCTTTCCCAAAACCTTAATCTCTCCTGAAAATATAACCTTTTCAATTTAAGTGGGATTCCTACGGCTGGGATTAAATTAAATGAGCACATGAATGTCATTTCGTACTGTCATTGATGACATGAGAAGATTCAACTCATTCGTGACATAAGCCCGCAATTTTATATATGAATTGAGTGCTTCATATTGTAATGTTATTCAAATTGAAAAGGGTAATAAATAGTATTATTTCGAAACATCGGATGTCCGCCACTGAGAATGACAATGTTCCATTTGAGTGAAATTGGCGTTTTATGTATGTATAGTTTTATTCCTTTTAATCCACCTTGCTAATAGTAAATATTAAAAATATGATTGTTTGGCAGCTAGAGCATTACTTACTTCATTAATAAATAGATCAATAGAGGGTCTAAACTGCAATACCCTAAAAAATTGTTATCATCTAAAAATCGTATCTCTGAATTCAAAAATTTAATGTAGTAATTTTTTCGCAGGTAATTTATTCCTCAAAAGCCAGTACCAGTGCAAATAAAACAAAACAAACATCAGTGTTGAAGCCCTTGGTCAGAGTGCCAATTAACCGTGACACATCCTTATTAGCAAGAGGACCAGTGGATACTCCACTTGCAAACAATATACAAGAACAACCATTGATCATGAATCCAAAACTGAAAACTGCTCAATACATATCTGGGGTCAAACTCGTGAAATCTAGTTCTGGGAATTTTGTATTAGTGCCAGATGAATCACCACAGTCTACTAAAATTTGTTCGAAACCTGCGTTGGTTTCTGGCACCAAAGTTATTATTCAAAATAACAAAATAAAGTCATTGAAAAGGTTCCAATCAGAGGAAGTTCAGGCCAGGAAACTCAGAAAGGTTAACGGAGAAGGCTTGAAGGTTGTTTCAAATAAGTTGGTCGCTTGTCAAGTTATGGACGGTGACACTGATCTTGATTCTCTGAACGCAAATGACACTTTGTTAATAGATTTAGATGCAAATAATGAAATTGACAACATATTGATTCAGAACGACATAAAATCATTATTAAAGACTACCAGTAACTGTTATGACGGAACAAACGAAAAGATGGAAATTAGAACATCTGGGCAATATGAAAATTCAGATACTAGCGAAGTTATAACTATCATCGAAGATGATATTCTTTCAGATACCGAGGAAAACTTTCAAAATGCGAACTTGATAAACTCTCAGTTTGTGAATACCAAAAATATTACCCAAACTTCTCTTGAAGATGTCTCAAAAGCTATAAAAGCGGAAAACAGTTACCATGGAGAATCTGCTGAAATAAATAACACTTGTTCAAACAACTCTGATCTCGTAGGAGTCTTTTTAAAATATGTCGTAAAAAGATTGTTTCACAATCCTATAAATATTTTAGTTTTTTATTGTTGAATACGATATGTTTATCATTTCAGTATAGAAGGTGTATAGTTGATTATATTGTACATGGTTATACAAGGCTTCCCAACAAAAAGCTCCCCAGTCTCAATATTTCAGAAACAAATAAAAATGTTAAAAATCATTAACACCTGTGAATAAAGTTATAAAGCCATTCGAAAAGGTTGAAGTTCAATGTCGCATGGGCATAAAAATGTGCCCAGTAAAAACTTTTCCAGTTGCAGGGCTAGGTGATTTTAGACATTTACGTCTGTTTCGCAAGTTTTCGTTGGGACACCCAATGGTCATAAAGTCACAAACAATCAGTTATGATGAATTGTATTCCTTGATTAGATATGTTAAAATACTGATAAATTGTTACATCCCTAGGTTCAAATGGTAACTACCAGCCCTAGTAATCTCACGTATTTGATATTTATTGTATATTGTTTTTTATTTATAATTATTTCTATATATATTTGTCTTTCCATAAAAGTATAATAACTCATCAATTTAGTATTTACTTGTATATGAATGTTCAATATAATTTTAAGTTGGACTCTGAAAAATATTTGTACAAAATTATTTACATGTTTGGAAACCAAACTTTATGTATATTTTATGTTACAGCATATTTGTTGATGCCAATGCCATTTTGTATAATTAGGAAATAAATTTAATTTTTTTCATATATTGTATGTCTGTTATGGGCTTCTTCGACAGAGGACAGTCGAAATTTTTACTATGGAAAAATTTTGAATATGTCGCACATAAAGTGAGAGAAAAAATTAAATAAATGCTTTTCTGAAAATTGGATTAAAATTCAGATTTTTCACAGTATTCAGTGAAAAATTGAACAATCATAATTATTTCTTTCTTCTTAAACCAATGAAATTGTGAGAACCCAAACTTGGCACGCACAATAAAAGGATTTTAGTAATTTTAAGTAAAATTTTTCAAAATAAAATCAAAAGAAGGCAATCTCAACTTTTATATATAATTTCCGAAAAACATTTTCTGTTCATAAAATGGTTTTCACCCAACTTCAATTGAAAGCATGTGTAATGTTTATTTAGTGTATGATTTCTGAAATTTAATTTTTTTTTTAGACAAATGGTTAAAGCAGTAATAAGCATGTAATAATTTCTACAGTCTATTCATGAATACATGAAAAAATATAGTAAAATTGAAAATAGTTAGGTACCTTCATTTTCCAAATTTTAAAACTGGCTGTTCGAAATTCCCGTAAGAAATGATTTCATTATTTGAACGCAGGTGATTCGCAAATATCTTCACTATGGCAAATTTAATTTTATTTCATAATAAACATTGTCGATTTTCATGAGTAGATCGTAGATAACTTTTCTGCCGTTCAAGATATCAGGATGTAATTTTCAAGATATTTCTAATTTTCAAAATTTATCAAGAGGAGTTTTCTATTGAAGTTTATTTTTCACTGTAAGAAAATGAGTATACCCCAGAACAGAATATCTGAAGTAATACTGATTTTTGAACTTCAAGACAGATTCAGTGGAATTCCTTTTCAATTTTTTATTTACCATTTTCTTCTGATTGTATATTTTTTCGTTTAACACCTGGGCTGAAAAAGTCCCGGGCCTAAGAAAGAAGACGCGTTTTTTTTGTTCAAAATTGTTTTTATCTCCATCAAGAGCTCTGCTCCAACATTTCAATACCGCTTTTGTAGAATAATTCTTCTTTTGCCTCAAAATAGGCCTCAGTTTTAGCAATAAACTCTCTTCATTCGAACGAAATTTCTCACCAGTGAGCGTTTTTTTGAAGTCTGCGAACAGCCAGTAGGCGCTCGGAGCCAAATCTGGCGAAAACTGTGGATGTGGGAGCAATTCGAAGTTCAATTCATACAGTTTTGCCATTCTTTTGATCGTCTTGTGACATGTTGTGTTGTCCTGACTGAAATAATTTTGTTTTCTTTGCCATATGCCGTCATTTCTTTGCAATTTCGGCCGTCAAAGTCTCCAATAACGCTATATATTCACTGTTGATGGTATTTCCCTTCTCAAGATAGTCGATGAATATTACATCAAGCACATCCCAAAATACCGAAGCCATAACCTTTCCAGGCGATTGTTGTGCCTTCGGGCGCTTTGGACAAGGTTCACGTTGCTCTACACTCGGATGACGAACGTTTTGATTCCGAAGTGAAGTGATGGATCCATGTTTCATCCATAGTCAAATATCGACGCAAAAATTCCGGTTTGTTATGTTTAAACATGGCCAACTGCCCAGAATCATCAAGACATTCTCATAGTCAAATGCTTATGCAATATAAAGCCAACACGTTCTTTTGATATCTTTATAATGTCAACTAACTCACGCAACTTAACTTTTCGATCATTTGAAACCAGTTTTTGTATTTTTTTTATGTTTTCTGGTGGTACTGCATCATTTGGACGTCCTCTGCGTTCTGCATCATCAGTGTCTCTACGATCATGTTTGAAGGCAACAAACCAACGTTTATTTGTTGTTTCTGATAGAGTGGAGTCCTTATAACACTTTTCAAGCCATTGCATCGTTTTAACGGCGTTTTTTCTTATCAAGAAGCAGTGTAAAATTAAAACACGAAATTGTTTTTGAACCATTGTTTTGAAAATAACAGTGTCACTCAGCACAATAACTCATAATAACTAATGAGTAGAATATGAAATTTCAACAGCTTTTTTTTGAAAGTTGGGACTTACTGAAAAAGTAGTGAATGCAATAAGACTAGCGTTATCTATGTGTTAGGCCCGAGACTTTTCAGCCCATGTAGTTAGTATATGCTACTTTTTGATTGATTTGACCGGTACTTGTTGGATATCCATAGTCTATTCCTAATATGCTTCTTTTACTATATATTAGAACGCCTTCCCAACTGTGGAACCAGTGACTCTCAAAAAATAATTTACATATGTAATTTGAGTATTTTGATGTAATACATTTGAAACCTTGGGGATAACTTGAAAAATGATGATTTTTCATGGTTTTTCCTACTGCCAATGGTTCCAATAGACTTGGGACCTGGAATTTTCAAATCAATTTTTTCAAAATGCATTTTTCTTTGTTGTTTCTGGAGTATGATGTTTCTAATGAAGGATGAATAACTGTTACATTCAAAAAGACATGAGAAATTTATATTTTGCATCATCTAAACAATAATAATAAATCTTTTATAGATCAAATACTCCAAAGATTCCAAGTATGTACTTGGAAGCTTTCATATGTTAACATATTCATTTGTGAATAATAAAGCTAATTAATAATAATTAACTAATTAATAATACAAATTCCATCCTTACAAAATGAAAATGATTAATGATCAGTTTTATATAAAGTATACCAAATGCGTTTTTAATTTTTTTATTTGGATGGTAAGATAAATGAAAAGTCCTATGCCCATGTATAATGGACTGTCTTCATAGTGTCGTTGAATGCTAAGGTAAACTAATTCATTCCTTTTGTCAAGTCTAAATATCAATCTAATAATTTTCTTTCGACAGATGGATGAATATTTTCTGGGCATAGTTAGTATTGCCTCATAGTATTACATTGTAGGTTATTATTGAAATATGACCCTAAAAGTTTTGCTGTTTCAAACAAACCGATTATGTTGTTATTAATTTTTACATGGAAATCATTTATTATATTTGTAGGTTGTGTGGAAAATTGCTTACATACTGATTCAGAGTTACTGTAATCAAAGACTTTCTAGCACATCATCTGCTGAATAGAAATACAAATACTATCTACATCAAGTAATGGCATTATATTTGTAGCTGGTCAATAAAACAAAAGGATTAATAATGCTTCCTATAAAAGTTATAAATGAAATGACAGCAATAGACAATTGAAAATTTGAACATTTTGAAAATAGGAATGAGTAGGGAAGATTGATGAAATGGAAAATATATGCCGAGGAAATATGTTGTACAGATTGAGAGTTAATTTATTTTTTGAGACACATAAAGTTTGGAGCGGGGTTTTGAATTAGCATAGGGCTTCTAGTGTTGTAGATGTGAATATCAATCATTTTGAGTCCAGAGAGTGATAGAGGATACGTGAACAACCTGTAACACATTGAAAATTAACAGAGTGAAGGGGAATTATACCTTGTTTAAAAAATAGAGGTTTTAAAGATGTATTAATCAATATTCAGAATTCATCAGATGATATATTTAATTCGAGATATGGAGTTCCTCAGAGGAATTTGAATCAGTGACCAATGTTGTATTTTCTGCGAAAAGTGTGATATTTTCAGTATTTCTATATAACGGTAGATCATTAACGAACAATAAAATGAGAGGACCGTGGATTGAGCCCTGGAGAACTGTATGTGTATGACTGATCATTTTCTTTTTTTTTACATATATTCTCCTACCCTGTGAGTAAAATGAAAGCCATTCTAAACCCCAACAAGTACAGTTTGCTTTGAATAATTGTTAGGTTGATGGTATCAAATGCTTTGGTTAGATCAAAGAAAAAGTGCTCCAAAAAATCTTCCTCGAAATATATTACTGGCATTTGTGGTTTTCATTTCCCTGGAATAAAAAAAAATACCAAAAAAGAAGGCCAAATTGATAAATTTGCCAAGAAATGTTACTGTGTTTGAATAAATATTGAGAAAGAATGGATATATGGATGTTAAATGAAGATATACTCCTTTTGGATGACGTTTCAGGAATCAACTCTGTTAACTTTCTCGAATCCTTTTGGAATAAGTGGAAGTACATAATCTTAGCGACTGGAGAAATGTATGGTAAAATGGATTAACAGGGTCTCTCAGTCAAAAAATCAAACTCTGCTAGAAGCTTTTGCTTCTAATGGGAAGCTTCTTCAGGGCCTATAATTTAATGATTTTTGAATATTTTCGCCTTTGAATAACATTACAAATCATATACTTACAGTAAAAATGAAATATACTAGGGGAAAACAATACTGTGTTGGTAACTATGAAGGAAACCAACGACACTAACACAAACCCCATCATTTAGCGTGGTCCGCCATATTGTTATCTCCCGAAAATAGTGTGATTTAAAATATTACAAATATATTCAAAAGGAGTTTGTTATCATCTTTTATATGGGAATAATGGCAACTCGGTGAGTACTTTTTACATTAATACAGGTGATTTCAAACTTCCTCAGATGCCAGTTCTTTGTTATGGGTAAGGGCCCTATTAGACGGAGAAGGCTAGCCAAGTATGCTAGCAGCGCTGTGAACCACCGACTCGCGAATGGGAATTCAATCCCAAACCAAATGGGAGTTATTAGAGAAAGACGGCTGGCTGCGCGGGCAGGTTTTCATCAGTCCGAGTGGCCACTCTCTGCCGCTCTGCCCCTTGGGCATCAATATCACTAGAGTTTTATCACAACACCAAACCGTTATTTTTAACACCTCGACAGGTGTTTCAATTACCAAGTGATCATATTCAAGAGGAAGATTAAACTAAATATACATACAATGTTCTCCTTATTTATACCATAGATACCTCTGTTAGGTACCCGCGTCCTGATTGTCTTAAATTAATTTCACAATGTTGCCTTATCTACTAGTCTTGAATTACTTTTAAAATGTTGCCTTATCTAATAGTCAGGTAAATCTGATAAATAAAATATTTCAACAAGCTATATAGTATACTATTATTAGGTATTGGTCCACCATCGTTATTCATAATATTATTATGTTTACTTATTTCTATACTCTCATAGGCATCTAGATGCCTTTTGCTGTTACTTTGTCTAACTAGTCTTAATAAACTAAAGTCTGTGGAATGGTTTTGTTGCGAAATATGATGGGCGACTGCTGATTTTTCTGGTCTTCCATATTTTAGGTGTGCTAAGTGTTCCTTATAACTTATTTTGATAGATCTTACAGTCTGACCATAATATTTTGCAGCGCAGTCCTTATATTTAATTTTGTGAATTCCAGACTCTTCCGAATTCTCGACTTTGTCCTTTGGATTTCCCAATAGGCTCTGTAGTGTATGACTTGTTTTAAACACCACCTTCATACCTAGTTCCTTGAACATCTTTCCAAAGTTTTTCGTGTATTGGTTTTCGTCGTTTTTGAACGTCGAGATTTCGTTCATTCTTAACCTAAACTTTTTATTCCTTATAATATCATTTATAATACCGAAATCTATAATATGAAATCACGACATTTAGAAACGACGAAAACCAAGATAAATTTATTTCAGTTCCATACCACCAAAACATGAAGAACTTTGGAAAGATTTTCAGGGAACTAGGTATGAAGGTGGTATTTAAAACAAGTCATACCCCACATAACCTTTCAGGAAATCTGAAGGACAAAGTCGAGGATTTGGAAAAGTCTGGCATTTACGAAATTAGCACACCAAAAATATGGAAGACCAGAAAAATCAGCAGTAGCCCATCATATTTTGTAACAAGACCATTCCATTGACTTTAATTAGTTCATTAAGATTAGTTAGACAACAAGTTAACAGCAACAGGCATCTAGATGGCTATTAGAGTGTAGAAATAAGTAAACATAATAATATAATGACCAACGATGGTGGACCAATACCTATTAGTATACTATATATAGCTTGTTGAAATAATAAGTGATTTATCAGACTTACCTGACTATTAGATAGGACAACATTGTAAAATTAATTTAAGATAAATGAGGCGCAGGTACCTATCAGAGGTAACTATGGTATGTATATTTAGTTTAATCTTCCTCTTGAAGATGATCACTTGATGATTGAAACATGTCCCGAGGTGTTGAAAATAACAGTTTGTTGTTGGGCTAAACTCCAGTAATATTCATTACTACACCGAAGGTTCCAAACAGTGCATCACAAGTGCTTGGGCATCGTTTCATATAGCGGCCATTACATCAATTAGTTCAAACAAAAATGTCAACCTCTCATTTATGTTTTCTTCTCTCNCGCGAAAATAGTTCTCCTTTATTTTTTCTCAGGTTTCAGCCTTTGATAACAAGATGACGATTGTCTGATTACGCGAATCTTCCTTATTGAATTATTTTTAACGGTTGATAAGGCAAATTACAAGCTCAATCAAAAGCAACGATCTTTATCAAATTGGAATGTCTCGACTTTTTCCTATAACATGGGTCGCTTTTTAAATTTTTACAAAAAGCAGAATAAACGTTTTTTTTGTTTTATTATTCCACTTTAAACTTGCTCAAAAGCACGGTTTTATAAAAACTTCAAGAGCCTTTTGAGGTGATGTAAATCTTTATCCAGATATAATTTTTGTTTGTCGGTAGGCGATAAATCAGGAGTATACGGGCAATGATTCACCAGTTCGTAGTTTTTCTCCTTGAAAGTGTCAATGAAATGCTTGATGTGTTGTGAATGAATGATGACGCGACGTTTTAGGTTATTTTTCCGTACTTATTCGAAGATTTTTATTTAACACTCAGCATTAGCTGTTCTTCGATCGTGTGAAGGAATAGTGGCGATCATATTCAATAAGGACGAAAAATTATCAATCTCTTTCCAGAGGTTCTTCCTAATCAACTTTTACGAGATATAAGAACATAGGCTTTCACGGCCTGAGTCAAAATAAAGAGGACACAATTCAGTCTGGTAGGCCGTGATCAAATGAAACCTGAATTACTGAACGTTTCGTCAGCTACTGCAGCAGACATCATCAATGGTATACAGGCTGTTTCAAATTCTATGAGAGATACAAAGATGGTTAAATTGGGGCAAAGTTGTGAATATACCTGACTAACAATATGCCGTTGAGAAAGTTCTAAAATTCCGAGTATATCCGGAGATATCCGGAAAAAACAGAAATTTCGGTACTTAAATGGAGTGCGATTTGGTATTAACGTGTGGGAAGGAATTTACAAAGATAGAATTTTGGGTCCTCATTTATTTGACAAAATTCTGAATGGAAAAACCTATAACCAGGTTTTTATGTCGATTTTCGAAGATTATTTGGATGATCTACCTTCAACTTACTATCACAACATCTGGTTTCAACATGACGGTGCTCCATCGCACACTATCAGACGAGTATCTAATTACCTGACTGGAAGATTTGGTGATAACTGGATAGGGAATAATGGGCCGGTAAGGTGGCCAGCAAGGTCTCCAGACTTAAGTGTAATTGATATATTCTTATGAGGTACACTGAAAAATAGAGTTTATGGTCAGAGAGAATATCAAAATATTGAGGAACTTCAACACAACATTGTTAGAGAGTTCGGAAGATTGAGGTGGAGGGAAATTAATTGTGCAGTAAATAATATTCAAAGAAGGGTACAGTTGTGTTTTCATGAATAAGCCCAGCATTTTGAGAATTTGCTGTGTTTTACTTTTGTCTTCATATTTTAGGTAATTATTTTTATTTGTTCAAAGTTCTATTTCCATTGAAAAGAACACAATGTCTAATTTATCTCATACACACCTCATTTATCAAATTTTGATTGTTGATTCTGTCTCCATATATTTTCATTGGTTTTTCAAACGAACCAAACTCGGTGAGATTTTCATCCAATAACTTGAACATTGTTTGATATGGTTGTCGTCTTTCGGGATACAAGTTTACATATATTTTCGATGTCCTAACACTGTTTCTATCGTATTTGTAATAAATTTGTATCATATTTTTTTTTCTTCATTCGTGAAAGAATCATTTTTTTTCAATATCTCTAATTTTTCGAAAAAGAATGATAACTTATGATACATCATTGAAAAGGTTAAATCTGGTTCTATTCAAAACAGAAAGAATCCAATATAGCGCCCATAAGAAAAAAAAGTGATGATGGTAGCCGGAAGACAAAACGTCGGATAGCAAATCTGAAAACACCATTATGTAGCAGGAAAAAAGTGGCAATGTGGAAATGCAATTCATTTTCGAATCCTGTATATAAAATTGAAAGTCAAATTTAGAAACATCAAAGTTAAAGCCTATTATGATAAGAATCATTTTTTTTTTCAATATCTCTAATTTTTCGAAAAAGAATGATAACTTATGATACATCATTGAAAAGGTTAAATCTGGTTCTATTCAAAATAGAAAGAATCCAATATAGCGCCCATAAGAAAAAAAGTGATGATGGTAGCCGGAAAACAAAACGTCGGATAGCAAATCTGAAAACACCATTATGTAGCAGGAAAAAAGTGGCAATGTGGAAATGCAATTCATTTTCGAATCCTTCGAAAAATTAAGCCAGAAAAAAATAAAAACCATTTTCCGAAATTTCTGTTTTTTCCGGATATCTCCGGATATACTCGGAATTTCAGAACTTTCTAAACGGCATATTGTTAGTCAGGTAAATGCGCAACTTTGCCCCAATTTAATCATCTTCGTATCTCTCATAGATTCCGAGATCCCAATGGTGAGGATTGAATTTGAAACACCCTGTATGCGCTGACTGCGAGGAGAAAGGTCATATCTCGAAGACTCGGCAACAATTTTACATACTACTATTGACCTTGGCCGCAGTAGCAGACGAAACGTTTGGTACTTCAGGTTCCCTTTGACCACGGCACACCAGACCGGATTTTAGTCTCTTTTATCTTGATTCAACAAGTTGAGCATCAAGCATCAGCTACTCTTAGCCGTTTTATATTTAATCAGATTTTCTGGAGGTTCATTATTTTTTTTTGGAAGATTATTAGTCGAACCGAATGCAAGCTGTCAGGACAGATAGGGAAATTTCGAAATTTCTCAAAGTCAATTAATTTACTCTCTGTACACATGAACTCCACAAGCACATACATTTCAGCAAGTGCCACTTTTATGCAGATGACACACAATTTTACTTGTCTTTCAAAGAAGCAGACCTAAACACAGCTAATGTGCATTTGAATACTAATTCAAGAAACACTTTATTGTGAGATTTTCACTGAACAGTTTTACAAAAACGTAACAATAGCAGCAAAAACGCTATACGATAGCTTGCACGCCTGAAGAAGCTATTGTATAGCGAAAAATGTGTTGCGTTTTTGTAAAAGTGTGAAGTAGTGAAATTCTCACAGTGAAGTGTTTTTTGAATACGTTATGAATTTTCATCTAGTATCGGCCGATTTCATCACATACATTTGAATACTGATGTGGAATCAATTATATCTATTTCAGACAAGTTCTGTCTTTCC